GTGCCTGGCCAGTCTGGGTGAGGGGCTGAGGGCTGTTTTCAGGCTGGGACTGAAGCTCCCAACTGCTCCTTTTTTTCTTTTTTCTTTTTTATTCTGGGCCAGCTTTAGCTCTGAGGCCTCGGCTGCTGAAAACAGGTTTCTGGCCTTTGTCTACCGTCTGTATTTGATACAATGTTGCGGTCCGGCTGGCTGAAGCCGCCCTGGGAATGTTGGAGTCCTGAAACAAGCAAGCCTCCCTGTTCGCATCAGCTGCCTGGCTGCCGGCCGCCATCTTGGCTGCCAGTTAATTTGCATATCTCACTGATTAGCCAATGGGAAGGGTAGCAGTCGTACGCCAATTACCATGGTTCTCTTTTATTAGTGTAGATAATTCACGTATTATACAATTCACCCATATAAAATGTACAGGCAAAAACCTTTTAACAGTCTAAATTTAGTATCTCAATTGGTTTATATTCATCTAAATGCATATTTTATCCTAAATAAGACAGGTCATTTTTTCTCTATACCGTGACGGTTTCTAGTACTGCTCAAATGTGAGCAAGGTATGCTTTGTTTTATAGCTTATTCTTCTCTTTGGAGGAATCCCTTATCTCTGGAGACTTTCTGGACGATTTTGTGGCTCTGCTGGCTTTGGACCAGAATATGAGGTATGTACATCCTTTTCTTAGCTTCCATGGCTCTGAAATGATACCTGTCCTTTGCACATTTTGTAGGTGAACCACTCGTTTAATCTCAGACACAAGGGAGCTGAGTAATGTAGTCTCTGGTTAGGCAGCTGCTTCTCAGGAACAACTCAGCAATGAATGGGAAAGCATGTGTTCTGTTGAACCCACACTCAGCAGGTACTCTGTGCCACATAACTTAGCAGATACTTCAGACAAAGACAGAGTGTGTATCTTACAGTCTCCATTGAGCTGCCTGGTTTGTCTACCCACTCTTCCAGGAACTCCAGCTGAAGGCAAAGCCTTAAACCTGAGATTGCCCGCCTGTAAGGATGTTGAGACACTGCTTCCTGACTTTTCCTTAGAAATTTCCAAGTCTATTCCCTCTTTCCTGGTTCCTTTTTGAAATGATGGGTCTCTTCTACATATATAGGTACCTTGGGTTTTAATTCAGCTCATCTTATGTCCCTTTTCTAAAGCAGCCAAATTCTTTTAAGGTCCCTTCTTTTTAAATGTATTTTTATTGATTTCAGGAAGAAAGGGAGAGGGAGATAGAAACATCAGTGATGAGAGAGAATCACTGATTGGCTGCCTCTTGCAGGCCCCCCACTGGGGATTGAGCCCACAGCCCTGGCATGTGCCCTGACCAGAATCCAGCCACAATCTCCCAGTTCATAGGTCAGCGCTCAACCACTGAACCACACTGGCTGGGCTATTTTATTTTCTATATAAAGCCACTTACCACTATTGCAGTAATCTTGTTTGTTTTCTTTTTATCGCCCTGACAAGAATTTTAAGTTCTAAGGAGACAGAGAGCTTATGTATACAGGTGTGGGCAAAAGTAGGTTTATAATTGTGAGTACATGAAAGTTTATTTTTATATTATTACTTATTATTGTATTTATTTGTTTTACAATTGTAAACCTACTTTTGCCACCCCCTGTATTCTTCATTGCTATGTCACTAGTGCCTAGGATATGCCAGTCAGAGAGTAGGTACTCCATAAATATTTGTTGAATGAATGAACACACTCTATATACATATTCTAATATATTATTTTTGGATTTAACATCTTTTGGAGATCTCTTCCTGTTCTTATATACAGATCTTTGTTCTGGGTGTGTGGGTGTGGGTATTTTTTTAAATTTTAATCTTCACTGGAGGATATACTTTTACTGATTTAAAAGAGAGAGAAAGAAAGAAAGAGAAACATTGATCGGTCCCTTCCCACACTTGCCTCAAATGGGGATCAAACCTCTGAGCCACCGCTCCAGGGTGATCTTTGTTCTCTTTGATGGCTGTGTGGTATTGGTTGTCCATCCTTTGCACAGTTCTTTTTTTTTTATTAGAGAAAAAAATCATTTTATTTTCACACGAATGTAGTAGATCAGACATCCTTTGCCCAGTTCTGATATACACAAATTTCAGTTACACAGTTTAGTTAAATAACACCAGTACCTTAAAAACATGGTTCAAATTTCAGTTACCATAGTATATGAGTAATCACATAAAGTACAAACTTCCTTGCTAGGTCTTTAGTCCACAGGCCACATGCAAATAACAGATTCTCATTGTCATCAGTGACCAATCACCTCCCTTTTTCCAAAGTATGTCAGTGATTGGTCATTGCACAGCTGTTATCAATTATTCTAAGTATGCATTTTGTTGCCTCCTGACATTTTTTTAAAATGGATATATATACACTTAACATTTTTTTAAATGGATAATTGAAAAGGAATTGGTCAACAAAGATAAAAGTGTAACAAAGAAATGAAAAATGATAACACGGAAGTTAAGTTCAAATCTGACATACGGGGCGTTAAGAAGAAATAGCTGGCCCTGGGAATGCTGCCCCTGCTACCATTAGACAGATTTAGATCTGCGGCCAGAGGAACTTAGTGAAGGTGACCTTATTGGTATAAATGAGGAAAGTGGCTTTGACAAAAAGGATTATGTCCCAGACTTAGTGTGACTGGCAAAAAACTGCCACGTTAAAGGCCTCAGTGATATTTTATGACATTGAAAGCTCAAATAGTAAAATGTTAAAATGTTCGAAGCTGATGTAAACTTTGAGAGGAGTATAACAATTTATCAAGACAGAGAAAAGGTGCCATTTCCATACTGTAAGTTACACAAGAAGAAGGCGAGCATTGTTCAAACTACTCTTAAGTTTTTTACAAAGAAATAAAACACTAAGTCTTTTTTTTTAATATGTTTTTATTGATTTTTTTTTTAAGTGAGAGAGGGATAAAGAGATAGAAACATTGATCAGCTGCCTCCTACACACCCCCTGCAGTGGATTGAGCCCGAATCCCGGGCATGTGCCCTGACCGGGAATCAAACCGGTGACCTCTTGGTTCATGGATCGCTGCTCAACCACTGAGTCACTCTGGCCAGGCAAACACTAATTCTTAATGTTTCTAATGGTTTCAGTTATAGTATACTAGCCCGGCCATTGTGTCTCAGTGGTTAAGCATTGACCTATGAATCAGGAGATCATGGTTCAATTCCGGAACTGGCCACGTGCCTGAGTTGCCAGCTTTATCCCCAGTAGGGTGCATGAAGGAAGCCCCCAATCAATGATGATTCTCTCTCATCATTGATGTTTCTATCTCTCTCTCCCTCTCCCTTCCTCTCTGAAATCAATAAAAATACAATTTAAATAAATAATAGTATACTAAATAAATATTAGTTTATTTTTTCATATCCTTACATATTTAGAACTGACAGTATGAGATAGCCAGAATTATAAAGCTCAAAACAATCATCATTTTTTATATTGATTATTAAGATTTGTTGATAAACTAGAGAAAATGGGATGTTTCAGAAGATTATAAACAAGCAAATGTCTTGTTTTACAAATCTTTTTTTTAAATTCTTTATTGTTGAAAGTTTTACATAAGTCTCCTTTTTCCCCCATTGACCTCTTCCCGCCTGCTCCCACCCCCAGTACATGCCCCCACCCCCCTTATTGTCTGTGTCCATTGGTCATGCTCATATGCATGGATACAAGTCCTTTGGTTGATCTCATACCCCACACCCCCACCCTCCACTGCCTTCCCTCTAAGGTTTGACGGTCTGTTCGATGCTTCTGTGTGTATCTATTTTTGTTCATCAGTTTATGTTGTTCC